CTTTAGATACAGATTAATCACAGGTCTTACACTTGAAATATTCAGATCAAACAAAAGGTGTCCATAGGAAAGGAGCTAGTGAAACACACACGCCATGCATTGTAGCCTAAAACATTAATATTTGCGACTGACACCAATGATTGTATGTGGCTATGCAGTGGAGATGCGTTCACTGTCAAATATGCTATCATTCAGCAAGCATTCATTTGGAAATTTTGTCAAATATTTTTTCTTGATTACAAGAAAAAAGCTCTATTGTTATAATTAATAAGTTAACACTGCAAATTAAATGGTTACGTTTTTTTTCTACAGTCGAAGAAAGTATAGCCTAAATTATGTCAGTGATTTCTCTCATTTTAAAGATTATCAAGAATTATTCTTTTTTTTTTCGATCTGCAGTCTAATAAAAGTTAAGAAAATTAGCCTATAGATCAGACTACAGGCTAATTTCATTCTTTCTTAACTTTTAACTTCTTAAAATTTGTTATGAAGAATTTTAAATCAACTTCATAACAAATAGGCTAATGAATTGTCTTCATAAGCAATATACGAACATAACGAATATCCTAGCTATTCTATAAAACAAAATTTTCATTAAAAAAATCATAAATCACGAACATGACTAAATGTATAAATAAATAAAAGAAAAAATAAATGTGGAAAAAAATTTAAAAAATACATAAATAAGGAAATAAACGTATAAATAATTATTTCCGCCGGTTGTTTTTTATGTCAGCAGGTTGAAGCGACCTCAATAACGTGATATTTAGGCCCTGGAATGTGAATTGTACCAGGAGAACCCCGCCAAAAAAAATATGTATTTTACCCCCCAATGCGATTTTTACTGGGGGACCCCCTTGAAAGCAATTGGGCTAATTTCAGGCTAGTTTTGAGTAGTAATTGGGCGGGTTTTGTAGTGAAAACCTGGCAACCCTGCACCAGACAGAGCTGTCGGCGATTCTTCCTATTGTAAAGTCATGCAGTGTGTAACCTCCTGTCGCCGATCCATCGTGCAATGTGAACACAGCAGCGACTGACTTCTACCTCAGATAGTCGTGCAGTGTGAAAACCACGGTGACCCGACGACTTTGAAAATCGTGCAGTGTGAACTCGGCATTAACGACTGGCGCGTCACGACTGGACAAATTCTGCCAAACCAAAAACAAACAAACAAACAAACAAAAAATAACTCACAAAAACCGCAGCGCGCTCCCACAGCTGCTCCCGCCCCACCAAAGACAACACTGCGGACAACAGTGCTTTTAGCTATTGAAAGGTTGAGGTTTGTTTTACTTTTCTTAGTTTGTGCTTAATATAACAGAAAACATTAGCTTTCCTGCTATGTTGGTGTTTCTAATAAATGTCACAGCAATGTGTCTTGAATATGTTTTGCATTAAGTCCGATGCTTCTCTTTCTTTTTGGAATTATTGCTTGAGAAGACACATTTCATTATGTATTTTC